AGGTGAAGTTTTTCTCATATCTGTACTTTGCAAATAGACGCTAACACGCTAGCCTACGCAAATGAAGAATTCTAAGAAAACGTGAATAAATCAAACATTTGTTAAGAGGGTAATAAATATTCAACTTTATCCCATGGAAATAAGATTAGTTATTGCTAAATAACAAAACTGTAGATACGTTTATTGTGTAAACAATTATATCACGGACAAAAGTTTTTCCCACGTGCTTCGTCTTTGATAAAATTAGACAATGAATGAAGTAATGACGTCATTGTCCAATCCAAAAGGTTTATAAGTGTGACCGCGATTGTAGTACAAAAAACTAAAGTTTCCTCTGTTAAATGCCTAAATCAGAAGTAATTCTTTTATAAGCACAACAATCATTGATTAAAGCTGTCTATAGCAAGGTAATATTAAAGTAACTTAACCAATTATTGGTAATTTTATGAATAAAGTTTGCTTAAGGCTATATAACTCTCAAAGTAAACATTAAAATGAAATAATATGTAAGGTATTAAACATAGTAATAAAATATAGTCGTGACGGTAATATTCAATTTTTGCTACTTACTTATGCTAATAAATAAATTCAACTCGAGACTAAATTTTGCGCATCACGAGCTCCACTTAAATTACCTCGATAAATCATATTTAACTAAATATCATAATTCAAAAAGGATTCATAAATAACGCGTTCTTCCCTATGATACAATTCACGTGATATTTGCATTAGTATACATAATAGTAGGTGTTAATTTATATGTAATTATGCTATATGGGACCTATAACATTATGTGAGACGTTAAGTACGCTATGACTAACGTGTACAATTGTTATACAAGTGCGCTACTTGGAAAATTATCATAGCCAAAGGATATGCTATGGTTTTTCTTAATAGGATTTAATGGAACTTACCGTATTAATATGTATACTAAATGTTAATTTATTATATTACTAGGTATTAGTAATATATGGTTAGATATCCGGAAATGGACTGTTTGTTAAGTGCCTTTAACACTGGCTGGTACAGTGAAGGAAAACATCGCAAACCGGCATGCCTTATGGCACAGAAGACAGATGACATACGTGTCTATTAAGACAATTAAATAAGCACGAAACAGAAATCTGAGTCCCAGACCTAAAACGTTGTAGGGTCGCTAGTTATTCTAGTAATTTAAGGAAATACTGAAATTTTAAGACACTTTATAAATCATATTGTAATAGACTTAGATTTAAAATTCGACCCTTAAAGTTAAAATAAGATAACATAGTCGAAGGCATTAATTAATTTTATTAATAATTTTAATATTTACATGTAAACTGAACTGAAAGTCCTACATGTTCGCTCGCCTACGAACCGTAGCAATTCGTAGCTTTTTCTTTACGTAGTTCAATCTTCAATTTATTAAACCTTAAGAATGCGAGCGTTTGATATAACTCTTGTCAAAGTAAAGAGCTGTAACACATTGAAAGTTTGACCTGGGTTGTGGTAATTACGTATTACCTGATTAAGCTCAACCTTCGTAAAGTTCGTATACCTCAATTTGACAGATACGCAATGTACACTCGAAAGTTTGAACAGCGCCCAGCATATACAGAATCTTGATTTCCAAGTTGGCTTAGTGGTGTAGGTAGGCGATACTCAATCCTGAGGTCGGAGATTTAAATCACGGCTGTACATTAATGCATATTTCTGTGTGCACATTAATGTCTTGCGTAAGGTAGTAAATAACGTGAGAAAAACTGACAACTTCTGTCAAATTTCGGAGACTGAAGATTCCTGTGTGAAGTATGCAAAGCTGAAAAATTATTATCAGAGATACTTTGATATTTATTAATATAATTAAGTTCTATGTACGGAAATGTTTTCGTGCTGCCTACAAGTTATTACATCGTACCGAGTGCTTGACGAAACAATTGAAAAGATTGTGTTAGGCCACCGAAAATAGACAACTGTCATTGAAGTTAATTACTTGTTGACGTATGGATAGTAACGTATTGTTAAGATGCAGGCTCTATTGAGATCGATAGAAGCGTATTTCCCGGCGTGACGCAGGCGTTCATTGAATCAAAGCCTTCGTGCGCGGACGCAGCGCTCAGTGGCTGTGTGATCTACTCGCGGTACACACGCGGTAATGGGCGATACGTAACATTGTGTAACCTCTAAACGCCGGTTAACCTCAAACATGGACTAGCGACAACCAGCTGACAGTTTCGAGTGAGTGTTTGCATTTAATTCAAGTGAACAATGGAATGCGAATATCAAGTGAGTTATAGTGATAGGTCTTAGTACCGTCTTACTGAGAACATAAGGGCTATTTTACCTTATTTCTAAACCCTCTTCCTTCTTTATAACTGATCAGTATTGGAGGGTAGGATTTAATTATGCTGAATTTTATTTTTATTTTGATGTCAAATACAATACGCGAAAGTTTTTACTCATTATAGGATAAATGTCGTTTTTTTGTGTTTTAATATATTCCATAGAGATTAAAGTGATGACGTAATTAGCGTTAAATCATGTTTATAAAATGTTAAATTATTATACTTGATGTTTTAATCTGTCATAGTATTCGGAATTTCCACATTTTAAAAAAAGTTGTCCAAACATGTTTTTAATGCATGCTGAACCTGGTTTAATAACCGTAAAAAGATTAAAGCATAGCAACATACATTGCAAACAGCTAAGAGCTACGCATATTTGAGCTTTATTATCATAGCAAAACAGTTACAATTGCTTGTACAATTTTGTCTAGTCGAAGCAAAACTTTGTTGTACAAAAGGCTAATGGGCAATTTAACTTTAATCGCACTGAGACATCTAATAACGAGCTTTGTATTGTTATAGTTAAATTATGCTAAACTATTGTTCTCGAGCATTTTAATTTCGTGTTATACGTATGCCAATTTAAACTGTATTACATATTAACCTAAAGGAAACACTTTAGCGTAAGGTACGATTTGAATTTATAACTACCCTTTTTTCGTTATTTATGATTGACATGTCAAACAATTCGAATTTCGAATCAAGTGGAAAAGGGTTCCATAGAGTTTTATATTCCCGGGTTGGAGGTGAGACATCGAAAAAGGTTTAAGCCCCTTTGTACAACATTACTGATAATTGAGCGTCACCACTGTCGTTTTATTTTATTTTTAGAATTTTAAAGTTCACCAGATTAGCGGAAATGTCCTATAAAATCCATTAGATCTAAAATAACTTAAACATCTTCAGAATTTAACTTTTTAATTTAACTTATATTAAACACTATTTAAGCTATAGATAAAGTAAGTTAGTAGAAATAAAAATTAACTATTATTATTGCAATAATTATTGTCAATCTATGGTCAATAATGGTTTTCAAACAATATCCTATGACACATCAATACGGTAAACGTAAAGAATGCGAATAATTCAAATAGTCAGACATTGACAAGTGATATCTTAAGTTTGACGGTCTTTGGGACAATGGAGCTAGTTCGTGAAAAACCCAAGGTCTAGTTAAAATTGTAACAGACATTGTCAGGTCACGAATACTTCCGTTTATGGCTGCAAAACTAATAGGCGAACTCAAATTTGACATTTAAATTGTTGATTTGAGATGTATTTCTGAACTAAATAACTAAAAATAACGTCTGCGGCGCTATCAGAAATTACAGAGTTACCCAATAGCCGATTGGATTTATGGTAAACTTTTTTTTCTTTAAATAAATAAAATAAATAAATTTTACGAATATTAAAGTAAGTAATACTGGTGATGATTCAAATTCCCATAACTAAGTCTTTGTGTGTGCAATGGGAAAGGAAATGTGATGGGTCTTATAGGTATAGATAGACAGATCGACGATTTTATGTTGCTTAGTAAAATTAAACTTTGCGCCTGGTTAACTTGATACCTTAGATTCGATTTAATAAATTTAATAAAATGTTGGTTGTTTCCTACGAAGTGTGTGTAAGTATATATACTTCCGCATACCTAGTATTGACGCCACAGGTTACGCCACAAAAATATTCTCTTAATTATTCATATTTAGGTTGATACATGGAAGTCAATATGTTTATTTTTCGAAGCATTTTCACGTTCCTAAGTTTATTTAAATTCAGATTGAAAATAAAACATCTAAACAAATCAAATTACAATTACCTAGATTATTTTTCCGACCCAAATATCGACCAATAGAATTGCACCATTCGACGTCACGTGGTACAACCTACATGGTATTATACTGATAATTTTTTGAAAATTTTCTCTGGTAGTTGCTTCAAGAAAAGTATTAAGTAGTTGTTTTATTCATTATGAAATTCTTATTTGTTAACTGTACATTTCGTCTCATGGTGCAATTCTATTGGCCGACATTTGGGTCGGAAAAATAATCCCCCGAATACCACACGAGCTTCAAAATTATCTGGCATTTAATTTTGAAGCTCTTGTGGTATTATAAGTGATAATTGTACAATGCAAAGAATTTTCCTACTTATACTATCACAAGAGTTGATAAACTGACCTGACCGGTCCTCATCCTTGTATGATGCTTAGGAAAATGCGTCAATCAGTCTCATTTTTATAGTTAATCGAGATGGGCCTTTCTTTGTTGAGAGTAAGTTATTTTTATTTTTCTACATGTTTTCAACAGTTAAATTTTAGCTGAATTAAATAAAACATCCGTAATTAAGACCAAAGGAACTAATAATTCAAGTGAAAACTGAAATAGCAATTTACAGTAGGCGGATTCGTTAAATATAGGAATCGTTGACGTAAAATAAATAAACAAGCTATGGGTAGCACGCTATGAGATTTTAAGACATCTGGATTTATGCCGGTTCGCGAATCTTGACGCAAGCATTATTCTAAGTACGCAATAACAGTTCTAAAATATGTATAAACAATAATTCTATTTTTAAAAAACTCATCTCTATGAACTATTTTGGTTTAAACCGCTATAACGACCAGGACATGCCCTGTTTTATTACACACGAGTTTTAAATTGTTTTCATTGTTTACAGATGCCACAGACAGTACCAAGGTCCGGGTTTAGCCCGCCTTCAGCGTCTCAAAGTGAAAGAGCCGTACCAGCCTCACCCTCCGACATACACCATCTGTTGCGCCTCCTCGGTGCAGAGTCTCCACCAGAGCCCATGTTACATTCCCCACCTACACATAACAAGCCACCTCCTCCCTATCCAGAAGATACTCAATTATTAGAGCGTCTTTACGACTTTGAAGCCTATTCTACACCCTCACCGTCATCAGACGAAGGAAATATTCCCACAGTTGCTCTCCAACCCTCTTCACCTTATAACTCATTCCAATACTCTCCAATATTCATCAAAGAAGAACCAAATAGGCTCACAGTGCCCGGTTTTGCCTCACCCTATCCTTTGTCACCTTCAGGCTCCTCCTACAGCAGTTATAATCAATACTCCTCGCCAGTTCCGCAACACGAAGAATATATTGACATAGAGGAACTATTGAAAGAGAATCAAATACTGCAAGACAGCATACAACATCAGTACATTACGCCGAAATTAGAAGTCGAAGAGCCAAGAGATCACGTTTTATTAAGATCAGCGCTGGAAGATACAACATTCCAAAAGAGGCACAATTTGAGACCAATTCCAATAGAACTAGGAACAGTAAAAATGGAAGAAAGCAGTGGAGGTGCTGACAACGATGTTTTGGTGGCACCTGATATAGATCGTATGCTTTCTATGGCCATTGAGCAATCCAAACGAGATGTTGACAACACGTGCACAGTTCTGGGCATATCACCAGGTGAGTCACTTTATATTATAGAGGTCACATATTAATGTGTCATTTTAACATAATAGCTAGTAGGACAACTAGTGTATATTGTTATTAGCATAATTAATATAAATGACGTCACGTTTATGGTAAATGATAATAAAAAATCAAATATTTCCAAGTAATAGCTTAAACACATCACAACTGTAAATCGTTTCTGAGAATAGATGATTACGCAATTTATCGGTCGTCTAAAGATAAATGGTATGAAGATCTTTGATATCAATATTGTAAGTTTGATGTCATATAACTAATTATGTATTTAATGTAAATATTGGTAATGGATGGCGTTGGAGTTTTATGATAATACGAGATAGAGAAGTCAAAATGTCAACTACGATAATATTAACAGTTACTTCAAAGAAAGCTTAATAAAGTAAATTTGTTACCAGATCCAATGCAATGGAGTGCGAGTGACGTTAAATCTTGGGTGATGTTCACGGTCCAACATTACAACCTACCAATGGTGCCAACAGAATATTTTGCTATGGATGGTCCAGCATTAGTCGCCTTAAGTGAGGAAGATTTCAACCAAAGAGCACCCCAGGTATGGTATATTTCAAAATGTGTGATTGATACTTTTGTTTCACCTTTAGCACATATAAAATTGTGTAATGCCTTTTCTATATTATGATTCAGTCTCTTATGTTATTAATCATTCATTTTCTCGTAAGTCTGAAGAAAAATAATGTGTGTATTATTATTTGACAATTAAAATTTAAACACGTGACATCAATAATTTAAGTCACAAATATTGTTGTTGATAATATTTTTAGGTTGTTTAATCTATGACCCTGCTATGATTAAGGTCAAATTATCATACCTCAACGTCTTATATAGAATAATGAATTATAAAAATTGAATCGAATTAAATATTTATTTATATATATATTTATATTTTGGCTATCATATAAATATTTATTTATATGATAGCCAAAATTCTTGTCTTGGAGTCTAATAAATATATTATGGAGAAACGTTAGGTACTTACTACCTTATGATGTAAAGTTCTTAAGGTAAAATTAAAGAAAAGACGTATGGATACGAAATCCAAGCGCTAAGTGTCCTTAAAAAGTAGTGACATACTTTATATTTGTGTTATGCCATTAAATGACAAATAAGCAACACGGATAATACTCGTGTATTGTATTGTGTATATAAATAATTATGTATTATATAAACAGTCTAATTAAAATAAACGTAAATGTCACCTCAATCGATTGTAACTCTCATTCCTATTTTACATAATTGCTTAGCCATTATAATTATCGGCCCTAGTTATTATGCATTTTATTGAAAACTTGTAGGCTATTTCCTAACCTTAAATCGTTGCGTCAACTATGGTTGCGAGTAAGGAAATCCGTTTACTGAATCGGGTTACCATTATGCAATTATTACTCAACTTAAACCAGAACTCTCTTTGGAAATCCCAGAAAGTACAAGTTAATATTGTAGACCTTGTTATTACAGTATTATTTCATATAATTGTTCCTGTAACACAGAAATTGTAGATTAATAGCCGTACTCATAATCGTAATAAATAAGTTAACCATTTAATCGAAGAAAAGGTTACTTTCCCTACCTTAAATCAATAAATTTAAGACAAGTTTTGTCCCTTTTGTTTTTTTTTGCCAAAAACATTTATTACCGAAATAATTACTGAATTATATGTCAAAATTAAAAATGCATTGTTTTCAAAAGTTATTTTTTTATAGAAACATTTTTTTAAGACAGACATGATATCGGAGAGCTACTGTGGAGCCGATCTTGAATAATTTATACATTAATAGTGAAATGTAAAGTGTGTTTATCCACACTGCGTAATTCGTGATTAGCGCATTACTAATTATCATAAGCATTAATTTGCGTCATAATTTAAATATTTGCTCAGTAGATATGAATTTCAATAAAATAAAATTTGGTGAACAAGTGAAAACAAATGTTTGCGTAGAGGGTTTCTTAAAGAAGCACCTGAAGTATCGGGCTCGATTCCTTCACAGCATTATACTTGAATTTATATTTTGTTCCCCGCCTGCGGTGGATTGGACCGAGGTAGTCAAAGGCTATATAAAAAGCGTCCGTCGGAAACTAAAGATGTCAATTACTCATGAATTTCCTGATGTATTCCTGTACTGGTCCGCCCATTTGTATTTATCTACATTTATTTTTTCTCCTTTTTTGTGATACTGTGATGAAAAATTATTATTATACCTGGGTACCATAGATTAGTAGGTAGATACTATGGTAGGGGAGCCCAAGAGGGGATTTCGGGATTTACTAAAGCGCGGCAGATTAATATATAGGGGGATACCTTGTACCCGGTTAAGTACCTCCACAAAATATGAGGCCCATATATAAGGCCGCCCGTGAAGGAGACAGGGTCAGATTAGTAAAAAAAATTGACCATCAGAAATTCCCGAGCGCGTCAGATTAAGGTAGGGTGAGTTAATTACATCCTAAAAAGTGTATATTCCACTAATCTGACAATTTGAAAGTGACGTAAAAAGAGGGGAGGGCAACAAAGTTGTAAAAAAAAAACGTCATCTCGACCTTCTCGAGCGTAGCTAATTTTTTTTTTATTATGAAGGAAATAATTCAAGAATAATGTAAAATATATAATCTGACGATTTCCACAAGCCGAAATAACAAAAATTCGTCGATAAAGTTAAATGCGTGCAGCTGCGTGATGCCTACATTTCCTTAAACCGATCGGAATCTACTAAACGGCGTTCTAAATATTTCCCTCAAAATTACATTTCCTGTGAATTTGAACCGATTCGGACCGATAGATTTTGAGAAATTTTGAAAAATCTTAAAAAAATAAGAAATATTTTTTTTAAAGTGGTTTCTTTATCGATCAACTTCAAAAACTAATCCGCCTTTGAGCTTGAAAAACTACGTCGATCGCCACCAAGCTGGTCAAAAGCGGTTGATTCGTTCGAGAGATATCGTGAACGAAAGAAACCCGAAAAAGTGTTTTTTCGGGATTACTCCGAAATTTGTGGTTCGATCAATTAAAATTGCAAAATTACTTATGAGGATGATAAAACTGCGTCGAATGCCGCCAACCGCGTGAAAATTGCTTGATCCATTCAAAAGTTATTGCGGTTTGAAAATTCCAAAAATAGTGTTCTATGAAACTTCTATCAGACTTTCGAGCTGGGAGAGCTCAAATGCATAGAAATATTATTTCTTTGAACTCAGCGAGCTCAAAATATCAATTTTAAGCGCCCAGGAATGGAATTAGCGGGAAGTTGCAGGGATGGCCCTTTAGGTGAACCGTTTTTCTAAATTTTTTTTGTCAGATCAGGCGAATCCCTCTAGATAATCGTCAGATTATGAGACAGTACGTTTAGAACATAAAGATGAACCACATATATCTTAATCTGACGCGCTTGAGTATTTCAAAATTGCGATTTTTTTTTGCAAATTATGAAAATGGCCGTGGGTTTGCGTCCCATCAAAATCGTCAGATTAGTGAATGAGAGCTTTTTTTGGTGCACTTAACACTCCCTTAGAAAATCTGACGCGCTCGATAATTTTTATTTTTTTTCATTTTCAACCCTTAAATACAACCACCCGCATCATGCAAACGATCAGATTAACATACGTACATTATTAAAAATACGTAGGGCATTGATGCTATCAATATCTGACGCGCTCGAGGATGTCCATGCAACAGTTTTTTTTTACATATTTAATAATCTATAGCCGCTTCCCCCACCGATGAAAAGGTATATATCATATAACATTTTTTTCTTCTTATTATCTAAGCTTTGCATCCCAATAGGTCTCTACGACGCTCGAGTAAATCCCCATTTAGCATCGTGGGCTCCCCTACCACTAGGTTGAATTATTCAAAATAGGTCATAAATATCCTACACGCGTAAATAAGATTTAGTCATATAAAACGAGTTTCGTATTTTCCTTTGATGGCATGTAATCCTAATATAATGCTTGTAGTGGGAAGATAGTTGTCATCAAACGCACCAATGGATCGACTTTCTCCAAGGCCGATGAAAGTCGCTGTGATATCAGCTTTTCTATGTTTGCATACAAATCGCATAAACCTGGTCTGCTTCCAAATGTCGCCGAAGCTAATAAAGAGCTTGAAAGTCCAAATACATTAATACTTGCGAGCTATAGAGAGTTCGTTCATTAAAAAAATGTGTTTATTAATTATAAGTACATATTATGCATTACATTGTGTAAGATTTGGAAACCCTTAGTAAAAAAATAACTTAATTATAAATACCTTAAAATATAATTATATATAATTTATTTACATCTTTTATTTTGTTTATTTTTGTATAAAGATATCGCAGTTTCAAGATATTGTGTATTAATATTATTAACCTCTTTTAATTATTTATATATTCCACGGGTGTAATTTTTGAAAATATTACCCATAAAATGCAAAATAAAATTAATGGTATGGAAAGTCGTTAGAAATAGTTTTGTATAAATCAAAAATTCTCAATAGACATTTTCTTACAGGCGGGAAGCACATTACACGCTCAGTTAGAGATCTGGAAAGCAGCACGACATGATAGTTGGAGGAGTACTCCGTGGGCAGAGCAGGAGCAACCCTCCCCTAAGCCCACGCCAGTTGGTCTTCCTTCTGCTGAAGATACGAGTGAAGGTATGTGACATTTTACATTGGAAGTTGCAATTTTTTATATCAGCATTTCTGGCAATGTAAACATCTTGTATAGTAAATTATTATATTTTTCGTGATTTTAATTTGGATACGACATAATTATAATTTCATACTTTTCGTAAGAAAAACCTTTTAAACGTCTTTTGCGCATCTAATGCGTCATCTAAACTCACCAACTTATTAGGCGTATACCAAATTTCCCATTTTGGTATTGTCGGCATACACAAAGGGCTAAACCAAAGCAATACAAAGTAGACAAGCGAATAAGCGGGAATCAATTTAAAAGCAAAAATATAATTACAATGATAGGGTAAGAAATAATTGACGTAAATAAATACGAATAGAAATGGCTCGTTTGAACGTGGCACGCCGATACATTGTGATCAACCGTTAGACGTGGACCCACATATGAGACAAACCAGGCATGATATATGACCAAGAGTTGTTTGCGCTTTACGACGATCTATAGACAGAATAGGGACGCTTGATTTACACAAAATGTCGCTTGGAATATGACAAATGATGTATTCAATATAATCTATGCAACAGTTATTACAAAACGATAATCGTTTATCGTAGTGTTTGTGAGATATATAAATGAGGTCAATGTTGAGTTATCGTGTTTATTTCATGGGGTTTAAATTATATCTACTTAGGTTATGTATTTTTAAAAAAAACGCCGTCAATTCCTTCAGAGACAGGAGATCTTTCGATTGAAGTATGGAGAAAAACGGCACTAAAATGTATTGCGCACTTAAGAAATTCTAAGAGTTTATAATCGCATACCGCTTTATATTATTTTAAAATATTATCGTAAACAACTACTTGCTAGCAGTACTATCGGATGCAACAATTTATTTTAATTGTCTTTGGTACTATGGTGTTATGATTAAAAGCTATAAAAAATGCGAATAGCTGAAAACCCTAATTTACCTATTATACCTGAGTGATGAGAGTCGCACGCTAAAGCCAGTAGGCCAGCACTGCTGCACTAAAACTTTAAAGATTAAATCTATTTCTATGAAGCTTCTAATGACCGGTTGAATAACGATGAAACAGATACCCAACATGTAGGTCGCAACGGATATCAATTAGAATCATGAAAGAAATCAACGTTCCCCTGTTAGGATCTGTAAAAAGGTGTCGATAGTAGCACAGGAAACAGCTATCGACAATTATCTCGCTAAGGCATTCCTCATAAGGATAGATTTATATCGTTACTCCAGCAATTCTAGACAAAAACGAAGCTGGATGTAATAAATCATAAAAATACTATTATGTCTATGTAACTAATATTGATTCACGCGAGTTTTTGTTAAATAAGTTTTATTTAATCTAACAAAGGAAAAATTTATACAATTTTATGACATAGATTATCTACATAAAACATAGAGGCATGTTATTTAATTTAACTTGTCGGTTAACATATTTAAAGTAAATCTGTTTGAAAACCTTTTTCTTGTAAAACATTATACTTGTAATCTGTCATTTTCATGCTCTGTGCTAATTTGAAAAATGTTATGTTACTCATGATTTTGATCGCCGCTAATCATTCTCTGAATAAATAGATTCAAAATAATAAATGATTAAATGTGTCCCATCACTAATAAATAAACATTAAATCGATGTTAAAAGTTCAATGATAATAAACACTCGTAATTTTAGAAGTGTACTCAATTAAATACCGTCTATACAGTTATCCATCAATCTAAACTACATACTAAGTAAAACGATGACCATATATGTGATATCCAAGTTTTTGTATCTTCCCGACAACCTAGATTTTAGAACTTGTTGAACGCAAGGTCGCTATCAAGATGGATGAGCTGACATTGTAATAATATTAATGTTAGAACCTGTTTTAAAACTCCAATACGTATTACAAATTATTAAGCAATTTAAAGTTATACATGAGGTATTTTTAACTTAAAATAAAATTAACATTGCAAATGCGAATGACTTTCAGAATTATAAAACATTTTTTATTTAAGTTTCTACATATAATACTAGTTCAATAAAGGAAAAAGTAAAAACTTTTGGTAAATTTCTAGAAAAAAGTCCCGAAATATATTTTAAAAATTAAAAATATGTTAGTTATATAAAATCTGTTTACGTCTTACATGAGAGGTCAATTATAACAAGTATAATATAAATATATGTTTAGACAAAGATATAAGATTACTTATAAACCCGACAAACCGCTTACAAAAAATATCTCTGGAAATTTACCGTATATACTTATAACAAACTATACTTTGTTTTAGATGAAGATTCAGAGTCAGCTGGTACGAGCATAAGTCAAGGAGGAGGCAAAGTAAAGACAGGCAGTACTCACATACATTTATGGCAATTTCTCAAAGAATTGCTGGCGTCACCCCACGTACATGGATCGGCTATACGGTGGTTAGATCGAAGTAAGTAATGTATACTTATTTTGTTTGTTAATATTTCTATTACTATAAAATAAATAAATCAGTGGCACTACAACCTCTTTAGGTCTTGGCCTCAGATTTCTGAATCTGTTTCACGATCATTTTTAAATCTAATGAACAAGAAGGTGATCAGCCTCCAGTGCCTGACACACGCCGTCGACTTTTTGGGTCTAAGACATGTCGGTTTCCCCACGATGTTTTCCTTCAACGTTCGAGCAAATGTTAAATGCGCACATAGAAAGTCCATTGGTGCACAGCCGGGCATCGAACCTACGACCTCAGGCATGAGAGTCGCACGCTGAAGTCACTAGGCCAACACTGCATTTCTATTACTATAATACAAAAAAGATCTGTATACATAATTTATAATTCTAGACAACCTATTTTGCTTAGACGATGTAAATTATACAACTTTTTTTTAAAGTCCGTTATGAAGGTTCATATGAGGAGGTCCTCATCAAGAGGTCTACTTATATCTTCACCAATATACATAAGTTTTTTAAAATTAGATTATTGGTGTTTAATTATATATCACAATGTAAGTAACTAAATATGAGATCTATGTGTATGTCTAAATAAACTCTCAGTTATAAAAACCATATTAACCACTAAAATTAGTCGACATAACAAATACGTCAATAAGTTCAAGTATTTTCTGTAATAAACGTATATATTATATGTAATGACAAAATAATTATTTCCTTACACGACTGACAAGTGACTGGCAATTAATTAAATATAAAAATAAATAAAGCTCGAATATTTAAAAGTCTTTAATGGACGTTGAAAACTATGTCGGAAGTGTAAAATTCAATTCCCATCAATTGACTATTATTCATTAATAAGCTCATTTACATATAAAAAAACGTTTATGTCTAATACCTACCGTATATTATAACGAAGGTATATCTGCTGATTCTCCTATTTGACGATATTTTGCATAAGTTATTAGTAGATATTTAGACAGAAACAAGCAGAATATAGGATCAATTAAAATACCAAAATAAATGACTCTCAATTTAGATAAATACCACTTGTGCTATTATAGTAAGTCGATTGATTTCGGTCTAAGTTATAACAGATTCTAAATTTTAAACAATCTCAATTATCAAAACCAGTTTCTAATAAAAATGTAAATTCCACATATGGCGCCGAGTAAAAAAATAATTTATTGTACACCGAACCGTATCATTATATCAAAATCATAAAAAGGCATTCGACAATATTAAACTTGGAACAGTTATAAACTGACCAGCTGGTGCCCGCGACTTTGTCCGTGCAGGATTAGTATTTCGAGTAGCTTATATTAGCATGGCGTAGAAAAAAACTTGGACAATTCACACAATATCTTTATAAATTTTAGCCTATGTGTTATTCTGATGTATAATATAGCTATTATTGTAGAGTTTCATTACAATCCATTCAGTAGCAGTTACATCCATACTTACAAACGTTCGCGTTTATAATATTATTAGGATATAGCTAAAAACTTTCTACATTACATTACAGTATTTTGTCAAATTCGTCCATAAAATACACTCAATAATAATTTTAAGTAATGTAGTTAGTACGACTGGTTCATGGCGAATTTTTATCTTACGATTTATTTCTAGGCTTAATTGATTAAAGCTTTTGCACGATAGCTTGAACTATTGCCGATAAAACAATAAAGTAAACTTGCCATTATATTTTCTGAACAAACCTTTGATCAAGCGTTTTGTCTCTTTAACCATATCGACATTCTCATGCCAAGGTGAGCGAGCCATTTACCATCAGGTACTATAAACCTTCAGGCATAAAGCTCTCTTAAAGGTAGCTTCGTGACTCGCCTAATACCATAGATATCCGTATATATATCGGTATAATTTATATTAATGCATTCTATTTTTGGTATTCACGACTACCTACTGTTATGGTAATTTTAACATAGTTTCAGTTTTATGATAAGGCACAAGTACAACTATAAATTTGTCTTATTTTGCACGTCAAGGTGAACATAAAATTTAATAAAACTTCACCATCCCCTATGATCCTTTGCTCAAGATGCGTGAATTGAATGCTATAATAGTAACATTTGCTGTCTTCGCAAACGTATTAATCTGATAAAAGAAGAGCGTGCGCGGGCGCACGTATCTAAGTACCCAATTATCATGCACGTTCAATCAAACAATGGTTAATTCAAATGTTGTCACACAGGTAACGGTGTCTTCAAAATTGAAGATTCAGTTCGTGTTGCCAGACTGTGGGGGAAGAGAAAGAACCGGCCAGCTATGAACTACGATAAACTTTCGAGAAGCATCAGACAGTACTACAAGAAAGGCATCATGAAGAAAACAGAGCGAAGTCAGCGGCTTGTCTACCAATTCTGCCATCCTTACTGTTTGTAAATTACGAAAGTAATGTCATTGTAAATAGTTGTATATAGTGGTTCGAGAGCCGCGGTAATGCGGACAAGTAGAAAACTGTACGAATTTTAAAACTTTAAATTCGAAACAGTTGATTCAATGTCTATCGGTGTCGATTCAGGCGAGTACGCCTTAATCGAGAAACCGATTGAAATCCCTCCATACAATTCGAGAAAGGTAATTTTCTCTAGAATTCTATTGGACGGGTAATGATTGTGTTTAGAATTAAGTTTTTTTTACCGACGATTAGAGTACGGTGGTAATCGATAATGGTTCAATTGTACTTCGAAAGTCGGTAATGTTTATCCCATATATCTATGATATATTTCTAGTACGTTCTATGAACTTTTAGGTTAGTTTGTAAATAAATCAAAACGTGTTATGTGAGATTATTTAACGATATTACTAGTATAGATTTAGATTATTGCATTACATGTGTACGTTATATGAAAGATGTTTACAGTAGAGTAAGCATAGGGACACTTGCAATTTAGTTTTATAAGTATACCCGCGAAGTAATACGCGAATGAACGAATTTTGTGCCAAATAGATAAATAAATCGCTTAATTTATTCGGGACAAAATTAATATCGGATGTATGTACCGATGTAAATGTAACTTATATTATTATCAAACGGTGTCGGGTCGTCTAAGTTAGATTAAGTGAATTTAATTTGACGCAGTTAGCGTTCATAGATTTTACAACCAAACTAATAATATATGAATCAATAATGTAATATTGATATGAAATAAATGGCCATTTAAAACTGTAATTTGACTTTTAATTCTTTGTTTAATTAGTTGTTGATAAGATGACCTCCTTTGAAATCTTTGTGTAAACGACTTCATATTTTTTATTGACAGGACTTGCGTCAAACAAAAAATAAGTACCTATACCGAAAATGTTATACCAATCTTGCGTAGGTAAGAACGTAATTACACTGAAAACAAAATCCTGATGATATTTGAAGCTGAAATTTTGAAACCTTATATGAAGATGCAAGCCTAAATTGCAAAACAAAGCCGAATATGAAATGCATAAGTTTAGCTTCACATTGCATCAGGTTGCGCAAATATGACGTCATTGGACCAACGACGAAATTCTTCGAGTGAAAGTGCCTTTCGAAGAGAGGGGAGTACGACCTCCGCGGGGGGAGGGGAATGATGTTGTTCCCTGCCTCTCTCGTGTCCGAATATTGCAGAAATTTAAAAGCGTAATAGGAGGAAATTGCTGGCATATATACGTAAATCGAGACAACCATTTTTAGTAAAGGTCATTGCATTTTATATTTTAGACTTTGTGGCGGACATACCTACTCCTGTTTGTTTGATTGGCGGCTGCCATAACTTTAATTATAAATATATTTAGTTAATTAATACTTACAATATAAATGTACATATAAATAAATAAAATAAAAAAGCCTATTTATTCCTTAATAACTATTAGAAATATATACAATTTGAATGAAAATATGTTTTCTATGAAAATATATTACATATGACGTCTCTTTTCCGAAGGGTAGACAGAGACCACGAATCTCCATTTGCTACGGTTCCTAAGTACCTAAGTATTTATTGCAATTTAATTGCACATATGTGTGTGTGTAATTAAAATACACAAGGCTTGCCCGATTGCCCACTGCGAAAGTACTGAGTGTGGCCAAATTAACACTGCGCACTGGAATATCTATTTTTGACTTGTCTATCTTGTGTATCTATCTTGGACTGCTACGTTTCATCAAAAACGGTTTTGGGGTTTGGGTATTCACGAGGTTCTAAAGGAGACATAAGGGGGCCTCATAGCCTAGCGGTGTTATTAAGTGGCAGCTAGGTCAGGGGTACCGGGTTCGATTCCCGGTTCGAGGGCAAGTTTTAATTTATTTTTAAAATTTGTTCTCGGCCTTTGGGAGGGTGGTGCGGTACCGGGCGAGTGCCTAAACCGTACATGGAGGACATGGTCGAATTTCTAAGGTAAAAAGCACGAATTATAAAAATCTTATACTTGACGCTGGCTAATGCACAAACCGTGCCAGACCCATAACAAAAAAAAAAAGGAGACATAATGTTGACATCTGTTTGAAGTTTAGTTTATCGAAATTTCTTAAACTAATTTACTTAATTACGTGAAAAAACTGTTTTATACAAACAGAACAACTTCTTGCCAAGCAAATCCATCCGTAAACATCGTAAACGTCTAAACTTATTTAATAATTAAACAACTATATTATGTTATTTAAATATAATATTTACAATTTGTAACCTACATAGTAATAATAATAACTAAATTAAAACTAAAATCAATTTTAAAAGTTTGGTCCCTGTGACTTTAACGCTAGCAGCATTTCCTTGCTGTATTGCGGTACTTATTCGTTGAGCGAGGACCACCAGCTCTTGGGTCACCGATACTATCTACCAGGCCTCAACTTAAATCTGTAAGTGGCGCCTATGCAATTAAACTCCTTATCGCAAGAGTACTCCAAATGGAACAATTTAGAGGAAATACTGTTATATTTTATATTGATTTATTTGTAACTAAGCAATATAATAAAATAAAACATGTATCAATTTAAATAATTTAATTATTCTGTTTTGCTGTTATTATGTAATATAGTCGGTGTTATTATGATTAATTGTTTGGTCCAAGTCTAAAGCTGAGTCTAGGTAGTTAAGTTTACGATCACTTTAAAACTTTCAATGCATATGTCGCAGCCAACTAGCTTAATTAGCCGTTCAATTAACAGCCTAGCCGCTTAACTAAACGGCGCCGTTTAACTATCGGCCGGAAAGATGTTTAGCCAGTTGATCAAACGGCTAGGCAAATGACTTGGATCGATGACGTTTCATTATTTGCCTAGCCTGTTGACTGTTAATTTAAATTTATTCCACTTTCTGCCACTCTCAAACTCGAAACGAAACTTCAAACTTTGATGGTGTTTTCCAAATTTTCATAAAATCAACAAGTACAATGGAAGAGTATAGTGACAGGAATAATTGAGTGAATTTGACTTAAGCAATTTAATTTTAAAAGTAATATTTTTTATGTCATATGTTTATCTTTTTTATTGTTGCCAAATAATGACTCTATCATACGAATGGCCTAAGCATTAGCCAGCCAGTTTATTAAACGTTGTAACAAACGCTACGGCTGAATATCTTCCAGGCCGTTAATTAAACGGCGCCGTTTAGTTAAAAGAAGTGCAAGCAAATTTACTGCGATAGTCCCTGGTATATTTCTGCAACCACGGCTGGCATTTATAATACTAATACCACATATTTTCTGCACGCCTTCTCCTATTATTTAATACACCAAAACAAGGCGTCGTCAAAGGTCGTCTACATTCCAAAATTGTGAGTCCGACCAGTCACCAACTGGTACGGCTAAAGTTTTATTAACTGGTAATAGAATTTTATAAATTTTACTTAAAATTCACTTTTAGGAATTGAACAGCTTTTATTTAATAAGATTCCTATTTATTCAAAAAATTTTAGATTTTATTTTTAAGTGCGATTCAGATGAAAATGACCAACAACACTAATTATAATAATATAATCAAACAAAATAACCGTAGATTGCTGTTTCTGCTTACTAATGGGAACCATAGATTACATGAAAGTAATAAATGAATTTGTGAACTAGGGCGTCACGGAGATTACTAACTGCTACAATAAATATTGTTTGGGAACCCTGACGCACAAATTTTTGAAGTTATACTTCTTTAGGCGCGTTATGAAAAATTTATGAGAGTAAAATTTTACAATGCGCGCGCACCTGTGACACAAAATTAGGAGTGTGATATTAGCGTGCGCGAGCGAGATAGGAATAAGACAATCTACAAGTAAAAAGAAATACAGAATATGCGTGAAGTTAGTATGCCAAGAATTTTGAATGACCATAATGACATTTGTCATTTACCTTTTAAACAAATAAAGGAGTTTTAATTATTTTTTCAAAGAAATTTAGCAATGCTTTTTGAATTATATATAATCAGAAGTAATTTAAATTGAATATTTAAACCAATACTAATTAATATTTGTGAAAAAACTGTGCTCATCAACCTTCCTAAGTGCTTCATTACAATTGAGGTTAACTATCAGTTTGTATTATTATTATCGAGTAATGTTTTGATTAAAAAAATTACCACATTGTTTAATCAAAACATGTAATTTTTCTCTAGCAAATATAAGGACAAGAGACAAAAAACAATTAATGAATCAGTGTAAGTGCACTAAATTGAATACAAAAAAAGAGTTGTCATCTTATCGCTGTGAAACATCAAAAACTGGAGGTGGAACAAAGCCAAACTATTTTTAATAATGCCAAAGAAGTGTAACTTCTTACGCGCGTACATAAGTACACGCACCCTTTTTTTTTTACTTAAAAGGGATCCCAAATCTTACACATTATAATCTGAATAAACACAGATTTTTAAATACGTAATTTTACGTACCGCATGTATTTAAATAGGTAGGTTTATACTTTATAATGTAAGTATAAAATTTTACACCTTTTACTTCACACCAAAGTTTTTACTAATATTTTTTTACATTGCGTCGAAAGAAATGCTTCTGAAAAGCGCCAACTGCACGACGCCTTTGGAATGACGTCATTATGACGTCAGAAAGTTAACTGTTGACATTTAACATTTAGAATTTTGAATTCTATTTCTATGATAGATTTAGGTGGTTTGTTTTTATTTTATATGTTCTATGAATTTTATAAATATTAAATTGTTGCAATTTTAAAAGTTAAACATGATACTTCGTCTAATTATATCTCAAGTTAATAATATCCTTTTACGTCTACGTGATTTTTAATTTGTAAGCTTCCGCTTTTGTTGTATCATGAAGCCAGGAAAAGGTTCGGAATCCCGAGAAGAAATTGCTGAAGTCCACTCTATCGCCCGTTCTCCTTCTCCAAAGCACAAAGGTAAAACTAGATCACGTAGTAGATCCGGCTCCCGAAAGTTATCAAACGGTCATGCTTCTGCTGAATCAGGAGAGAATCAGGCGGAGCAAGTTTCTGAAAAGGCTAAAATAAGAGAGATCTGGACAAAATCTGAACAAGAATCACTAGACACCGAGTTACCGATACATGATCAAATTAAAAGGGGTATATTGGGCTTTGTGGAGAAGGAGATAAAGAAAACTGACAAACCACCGTCTTTTGTTTTTTATTCGCATGATCCAAATGGTCTAGAGGATAAATTTATGAAGAATCTGTCAAGACCATCAAGTAGTCATAAAGAGAAGCGTAGTCCATCCTATAGAAAGAAGAAAAGGCATTCCTCGAGGCATAGAGACAAAGATTTGCATGATTTTGAAGTGCCCGGTTCTAGTCTTATTGCTTTAGAGAAGGTAAGGTTCAGTAGTTCTTTTTGTCAACATGACATCAACAAATGCACTTTTCTTGTTGTCCACTAATCTGAAAAATTGCAGATAATTTTAGTTATTTTGTTGTGAGTGTGTACAATATGCTTCTGTTAATATTGTATATTGCAAAGTTTTGTATGATATAATGTCTAGGAGTTATACCCAGGATGTAAGCATTAGCTTAATTCTGGATTATGAAATTAAGATGCCTGTTTATTAATTGTTGTCTATAAATTATTTCAGGTTGATGATTATCTCAAAGAATATAATAAAGATGAAGTTGTTACATTGAGTGGTGAATTAGATATAGAAGCTCACGATGTTGAGAATAATAATGGGTCAAGTAGAGAATTACGTCATAAATCAAGAAAGACAAGACGAAAACCTCGAGAAGAACGGCATGATAATTCTAATGGGAGAAATGTCAGTCCAAAAGTTTTTAAGACTGCAAGTAAAAGTAAATCAAGTAAACCTGGCAAGTATTTTTAGTTACAATTTGTATACTGTATAATATAATACATTTTATATAAGTTAATTTATCTTTTTTAAATTACAATGTTTTTATTGTTATTGTTTAAATTGAATTTATTCTAGTAAAAGGCATATCTATAGGAAAGCTTATATTAAATTATAAATATAAATATAATTAAGAAATTTTAAGCAACCTTAATTGATCTCTCTTAAATAATTAACTTTGATTGCTGTATACAATCTTTGTACATTTTTAATTTTTAAATTGAGCATTTGAGATATGAGAAACTACCAATTCCAATTGTGACTGTTATTATTATTGATTTGCTGTGATTTAATTAATAATGTTTAAGAAAACAATTATTATATTTTTATATATATATATATAGATATGAAAAAAAATGAATAACAAAATTGCACTTAGACATTTTTAAATTTTATTACTACATATTACTATTACTTGTAATCAAGTTTAACATAAACATCTGGCCTATCATTATTGATGCATGCCAGTACAGTTTGTGTTAATTAAGTGTTATCTTAATTCCAGCGCGTCCTGCAGATCTAACTACTATGCTAGAAAACATTCAAGCCAGTGTCCCGTATCATGATCAATACATTGACAATCCATTCTCGTCACCATCTCCGCTGACTTCACCAAATGATGACAGGTTAGGTCTGTCCCGTAGGCCTGAAAAGATTTATCTTCAAGGAGGTGGATCATTTAGAGTTGTATCTAGAGAAAGGATAATGGAGTCACAACAATCTAAAGAGGAGGAGCGATATGCAAGGTACGTGAACCTTTTTAATAAGGAGGTGCAAATAAATAAAAATATCCTGTATTTCTAAAGGTAGATATTGAACACTTATATAGCAAGATTTTTTTTAATTATGACTTAAAAAAGAATTAAATGATGACTGAATGGTCAGTGTTGGCCAAGTGGCTTAGGTGTGCGTCTCTCATCCCTGAGGTCGTAGGTTCTATCCCCGGCTGTGTACCAATGGACTTTCTTACTATGTCCGCATTTAACATTGGCTCGAACGGTGAAGGAAAACATCGTGAGGAAACCGGCTTGACTTAGACCCAAAAAGTCGACGGCGTGTGTCAGTCACAGAAGGCTGATTACTTACCTATAAGATTGACAAATGATCATGAAACAGATCAATAAACATACTAAAGTTAAAAGTATTAATTTTGTACTATGTACATTGTTTTAATACTTTTATTAGCAATTTGTAATGTCATGTTTATTGCACTGTAAGGTATGTTTGACATTACATAAAAATATGTTATATTTTGTTCTTTCCACTATTGCTTTAAGTCTAAAAATGCATAAAGGCTTATTTCAGATTGTTATTAACTATTTATTGGTGCTATGATACTTGATAAGCCTTGGCTTCAGATATTCTTTTTTTAGCTAAGTGACTCCAAAAAACAGAAGTTGCAAAATCGACATAATGTCTGATATACAAGCAAGGCAGACATAATATGTCGATTTTTATGTCAAGAAATTACTGAATTCAACAATGTTTTCAATAAGCCAGTTTTGAAAAATATTGTGAGGAAGTGGTTCAAAGCCAGCTATTGACATAAATAGTTTTAGTAAACAATCCAGTGTCGCTACACTACATGCCCCTCAAATTGCTTCTTTGTTTTTTTTTACTTGCTACTGATTCTTAACATTATTTAATATAAAACTTCAAATTATATACTCAACTGAATAAAATAATACAATATACTCAAATCAAATCAAATCAAAATACGTTTATTCAATTTAGATGCTTCTTAGAGCATGCTTATGAAATGATACTGATTTTTTTATTTCAGACTAGGCGATCCGACTCCACTGGATGTAGCACTAACAGTCCAAAAAGCATGGCGTGCCTTTGCCAGTGCCTGTCATGGGGTACTTGGAGGGCTATCTCTGATGCATTTGCTCCTCATCAGCTATTCTGACAGCCTGGATGCTGGGCATTTATCTTTCCATGCCGTGGTCACAATGCCATATGTTGCGGCATATTATTTCTTCTGTGTTCTCTGCTTGGTGTCTGTTTTAGATCGGTAAGTTTTCATACTTTTATAACTAGCTGTGCCTCGTGGTTTTACTTGCATTCGTTTGGATGTTGTGTCATAGGCTTCCTCGGTATACGCACTAGAATTGTTTATTTCGAACCGAAGTTGCTAGTGTTCAAGCCCTATAACGTTGGAATGGATTGATGTTCTTCAGTCGCACACTTCATTTCTGAAGGTCGTATATGTGGCGCCGCATAACATTCTCCACTCTCCCATGTCTTCGACAAGCTTCTTCGCCTGGGTGATGTTAAGACCTGTAAGGGCCTTTACATAATCGGTCGAGCGAGTAGGGGAACGGCTTCGAGGTCTGGTGCCTTCCTCTCTGCCAGTCAAGATGAGTTCTTCTAGGCTTTCTGAATCTCTGCGTGTTACGTGTCCGAAAAACTCCGGATGCGTTGGTAACAAAGTGTCGTAAGATGATTTTTTACCTGTAACCGTCTTAGTATGGACACGTTTGTTTCCTTAGCTGTCCAGGGAATCCTGTGCATCCACCTCTAACACCACATTACAATTAAGCTATGAGTTTATTGTGATTTTTTTAAAATTTCAATATTCTATATTATTACCTGATTTTATAGAATAAAATGAATCTACGAATTTTTAAGTACTATTTATTTTAAATAATAAGGAGGGTAATGGGCGGGCTTATCGTATTCGAGTGATCACTTCTAGGCAAATTTTTAAGGAAAAAAGTAAGGTGAACCTAAGAGGTGCAGATACTACATAACATGAAGTATGAGTATTTCAAGGCTTATTCTGATCAAATATTTCGATATAATTTTGAAAAGCAATATTTAATGATGGAAATATTTACATTTCAGCCTAGATATTACCAATATAGACACGACACGTGGCCTACAACCTTGGTTCCAGCCAATCGTATTAGTGATCTTGTATAGTGCTTGTCTCCTGGTCTGTTCTGTTGCAAGAATCTATGATGAGCTGATGGTCTACCAGTATGCTCCACTGGTGGCGAATATTACTGGAAATGTGACTATGGTGAGATTTTCAAAGTGTAATAAGAAGTTTTTGTAATTTTATTGATTTAAATTATTTGTTTTGTTGGTCCAATATTCATTAATTTGGGATTAATATATTATGTACAATGATTAGAATATTACAAATTTAATAATGAAAAATGAAATGAAAATTTAGGTATTTAAGATATTTATGAATAAGGGGAATGATTTTTTAATACAAATTGCAAACTGCCTGTATCAATTTAGTTATTCATTGTTATAATTATCAGTATATATTATGTCCTGTTCTGTGTAATGACCCAAATATTATATTGTTTTTATCCTAAATTTGTCATGTTTGTATTTCTTTTCGTTATATGTGAAACTATTCCGATATATATTGTAACTTTATATTTTTATTTGACTTTTTTCTGCAAAAACAAATAAAGTAGGAGTACAAAATCTTACTTTATTTGTTTTTGAGAAAAAAAGAGAGTGTGGTAAGAGAACTACCGTGGGATTTGAGGTCGCAGAAGCATTACCTTTTTTTTTTGACGTTGTTGTAGTTCGACTTATCTTGATGCTCGGACGGTCGCACATTCTCTTTCCGCACACTCTACCAAAATTTAAGCGTCAATTCGGTTAACTTAGGACTTGAACTCATTCAAAGAATATGCAAATATCGTTAATTTATTAATAATAATTGTTATTAGTTAATTTATATAATATGTTTTCAGCCAACAATACCAACGTTTTACCACACGTGGACACACTTCTCAATATGGCGAGCGGTTCTTTCCATACTTGGCCTTGTCTATTTTGTTATATCGGGCCCTCAAGATATGGTTTATCACAATCTTCAGCAATTATTGCAATTCAAACTTTCCTTGCAAAGTATTGGATGATTTATATTTAAGGAGATATTTTTAGAAAATACAAATATCCGTATTTTTTTTTTCATTTAACGTATGGCGATGGATAATTCAATTTTCGAAGATAAGTATAAAATAAGAAATGTTTCAGAGATTTGAAAATACATTTTAGTATTTGTTATAATTCCTAAAATAATAAATGCTTGAATTGCAAACTTATGTTTAATGTTTATTAAATTATTTTAGTGTAGCTCTGAGTTTGTGATGATAAAAAAAAACACAAATAATAAGTTGGTGCTAATTCAGATGAATTAGAATGTTTTAATTTTTAATCAAGTATTGTGGCAGAGAATGTCCGTGGGCCATTTTAAATTAAGTTGTGTGTATCTCTTAAATAGCACCTTCATTTATTAATATTTATTGTATACGTCCAAATTGCAATAATGCGTGTATATTAAAATCATCTCTCAAAATATTATTTACATAATTAGTTATATAAGGCTTGCTAAAATAATATGCAATATTATTATTAAGGAAATATTGATTTAATTTTAAAATTTATTACAATCACAAAAATGGTTCTAGTCAAACCAACTCATACCAGTAATATCTAAATATAGTTTTAACATCAAATTGCTATCAAATATTTGGTCCTTGTTCTTCTGTCACTTATAAATAAACAAGACAAAATATTAACAATTTGATGTTTATAGTACAAGGACGCGAAGTCAAAAGTTATATGCTCCAAATATAATTGCGTCCTAGAGGTTGGAAATTAATCGGCAGTGAGATTACCATATAGAATTAATTAAATTATTTTTCGAATTCCGTTAAAATTTAGGTCCAAATCTAGTCATTTCCAATAAATTAGCATAAAAAAATTCACTGCATTTGTATATATTTCAATGTTGGCTATATTGTCTTCTCAAAGTACCAATATTGAATAATTTATTGTGTAATGAAATTTAAATCTTATATGTAGGTCTTTAAATTACTTTTCAACCACTTTAAAAAATATAGAAATGTAATGGCTAACACAGATTATCATGGGATTAAGTCCCATTTTACAAGGATCAGTTCAAAGTTTAGTATAATTAAAATTAGCACAGATGTACCTGATATTTTATTACAATGTATACTAGTCATTATTTCCAGTACTTTTTGACAAATAAATTTAATTTTCGACATACAAACACTAAAATATTTGTATGTTGTAAATAATTCTTCATTAATATTAACTACACTATAGTATGTGCAGTGTAGCATGGTGCGGGTGATATTTGCTTAATTTTTCTTTCAATTTGATTTTATATGTAGACTAGAACATTCTGGCTGGGTTAAATTTAAGTTACTACAGTTATTAATGTTTTAATATATTACGAATGTGGTACAGCTGAAATACTAAGTCATAATTTTTAAATCGCGGTAACTTTCAAGAGTGAAACGAAAAATTAAGCAACTCACTTGCTCCATGCTACATCACACATAGTATAGATCTACTAACAAATGCATCTTAACTTATAGATTAAGTTAATATATATACTTTTTAGTCATTAAGCTACTCATTTCGTATATGCAATAAATGCACAGATATAGAAGCGGGTTACTAAATATTAAAATGTACATAATTTAAGTTTGATGTTTTATTATTCCTTTCTCCTTATTCTAAAATAGGTAAACTTCAGGTGTAATGTTATTTAAAACTACTGGCAAGAGAAGCGAAGAAAAATAAAGTCCAATTCATATTTTAGACTTTAGGTCAACGCCGATCCATTTAGTCGAATTTTGACAGTTTAAAATGCTCAGAACTCGACAATAATAAATAATTATACATTCGTTTGCTTTGCGATTGACGAAGAAACGAGACTAAAAATTAAAAATTTATAGCATTAGGATGTCACTTCCACATACGACTCAGCTTTGAATACAATCTTCAAATCTACGCTCACAAACTTTCAGCTACACAACCTAGATGGCGTTGCATAATGTTATAATTAAAAAAAAATATATAGAAGTCCTTTTACTTTACAATTTCAATGGAAGCTTTAGTTAAGAAGTTAGTCCGCCCTGTCTCCGATGTTTAAAACAGCAGTACTCTGTCTAAGCTTGCCCTAATTCGGACGTGTCAGACATGTGACCCGGGTTTTGAGAGTTATAACAAAATGCACTATACTCTAAAGTCTAAATACTCGTAGCCAGGCTCTTTGGCGGCTGAATTAAAGAACTGTTAGCCATGCGAGCGCAGTCACCGGAGAAAGTTAGTGAAATGTATTTCTGCTACTGTTTCCGAATTCCTTGCCAACTATATTTAAATTAAAACATTGTTAATAAAGCAATTTTGATGAATGTCAAGTTCCCTACATTGTATTTCAATAATTGGAACATGGAGTCTCCACAAACCAGTGGGTAGCTGGTAACCACCAATAATCGATGTTAAAGATTAATCATTAGGTACAATGAATGAGTGCCGTGTCAACCAAGTTTACCTAATTGAAATAGATGTAAGATTATTTTTTTAGCTGTTCCAGAAAATTATTAATTTGTACTTGAAAATTAAATAGGTTCTTGCTTGACCAAACCAAGGTCAGTAGCGTCTACAATGACGATATTAAGGTACTTGTGATAAGGTCCCTCCTTGTAGTTTATTGTTTATCAGAATGCTAAATCGTAAAATGACTGCTTTACGACTGATTTTAGCGCGACCGCCGCTGTGAAAACCGCTGTGTGAGTTCGAAAAGTGAGTTACAGAATCGCAGGGCAGAACACAAAACTGCAAGTGTTTTGTTTTCTGTTCTGTTTCCACCCACTTGGCATTTGGATTAAGTAGTAGTCTAAATAATATTATTTATAATAATGTATTTTATTTTTTGTTGTTTACGATATCACTTCGTATCTAATTACTTATTTATTTTAAGCTTCAAAGTAAACAAACTTAGAGAGAAGGATAAAGCAAAATTCCACGCCATGTGTCAAACTTAACGTTATTCATATCATTGTAATACCACTATCGGAAACAGGCTGGCGCTGGCATTTAGCTGTTATACTGCACTATAATATTATGTCACTGCTCAGCCACCTGTGACCATGCATACAGCACGCGACAAATCAAGACAATTGAAATGAAAATGCGCAATTAACGCCGTTAAATACGTTTAAAAGTTCATATATTTTTAAGTAAGGGATTTGACACAGTAAATATGTCGCGATGAACTTTTTCCCATTTTATAAAAATATTGAGATTTTGGAACTTATTTTATACTTAGTAAATAGTCATAAGATAACATTTAATTTTTGATTTATTGGATATTTAAATATGTGGTTTTTTTGGTGGGTGGTAACGAAATTCAAAATAATTCGTCCCAAAATCTGAAAGTTTCTTGAAATTCCGGGGCTAGAATAATTACGATCCTAACTTAACTATTATCTGAGATATAGCCGAATAACAACCAGATGTGAGGACGATAACATAGATTAATAGTAAAATACAATTTTTGTACAATATATAGTTCCATTTTCCGAGACCTCTATCCCACTTATGGACAATTTCTATGATAGCTGGTATAAATATTCCTAACGTCGAGAAGAAGATGGCACCGACGAGACCTATCAATAATTCCAGGTCAGGGACTGCGATGGCCAGGATCACTGTAATAGAAATGTAATTTTAGTTTCGTTGTACATTTAAAATAGTGTATTGTATTTAAAACTATTCCTTAACCGCTTTGACATGCAGATTTATTTGTTGGTTTGATGAATGTGCCTTTCAGGTTGAATCCATTGTTGTTTCACCGAAAATTAATATAACTGTTAATCACATTGCAGCCGACCAGTCACATAAGCTTGATTGATTTGATGTTGTAAAACAATACATTTGGTCCGCAACGTGGAATTATAACACAATCAATAATCATTTTATTTATTGATTTACGTGGGTAGGTCAGTAAAACATAACTTAATTTTAGCGCCGGAGTTGTCCAAAAAACCTATTATTATCTATGGTTGGGTTAGGTTAGGTTAGTACATTATTTTTTTATTAAATAATTGTTCCCGGCACGTGAAAATGGTTGGAGGGTATTATTCTAAAACTTTAAAATTAAAAAATTAGGATATAATCGATACATCTTTACAAAAAATCTTTTATTTTTTATTAATCGATTTCTTGCCAAAAAACAATCGATTTGTTATGCAGAATGTCATATATCTAATAACCAATAGAAAAGTAGAAAATGTACGGTTTGTTTGCGAATTTCAATACATTACACAACATTTTGAATATTTTTTTTAATACTTAGACGCAACTCCGGCAGCAAAAATCACTTAGAGGTGTTCCAATCAAGGTCCCCCGTAATAAACACCTACCTAATCAGTATCATCAAATTCGAGCGACGTAATTCTAAATCCAACCCTGAATGAATTTGACTTAAGCAATTTAATTTTAAAAGTAATATTCTTTATGTCATATTATGTTTATCTTTTTGATTTCTGCCAAATAATGACTCTATCGTACGAATGACCTAAGCATTAGCCAGCCAGTTTATTAAATGTTGTAACAAACGCTACGGGTGAATATCTTTCAGGCCGTTAGTTGAACGGTTCGGCTGTTAATTGAACAGCTAATTAAGCCCTTGCGACATATCTCTGTGTTACCCGAGCTATCAAAAGATAGACAACTCGATAAAAAAATGTGGTAATAAATATACTATTTGTATATTTATTAGCACACTTATAGATCGAAATATCTAAACTAATATTACACTTACTGTTTGGTACTTATTCTGCCAGAAGATGGCTCTGCCGGCCCAATCACGCGCGATCTCAGTACCTACTGTTTGTAGGAGCGTTAATGAATAGACAAACTAATTGTATTCCCCGCATATTATGGTATTTTAATTTGCACCCATTTAGTAATTAAATAATATCTATATATTTACAATTCTCGTGTCACAATGTTCGTTCCCATACTCCCCCGAAACGGTTCGACCGATTCTTATGAAATTTTTGAAGTTATACTTCTTTAGGCGCGTTATGAAAAA